ATATATTATATATTATAAATATTATATATTATAAATATTTATAAAATATTCACCTTTTATTAGTAGTTGTATATATATATATTTGTTTTTTTTATATATATTCGTTTATCACACGTACTTTTTGTCAGTGTGACACGGTGTATATACGTTTAAGACTCGAGACACAAGACAGTATTGTGCGTCACTTCGAGACAAAGACTTAAGGCTGTCTTAAAATTATAAGACAGCCATTCTGCTTAGCCCCTATCTCGTTAAAATTTTCAGAATGCATTGCATTTCTAAATTATATAGTGCTGACATCTAAAGTTGATAAAATTGATTCAGTAACACTTTAATCTGTCGATATCTTATCAATATTATTAATCATTTTATCAGTCGGTATTGAATATTTTTTTTATTAAAAATAGTGAATTTACCATGTGCGCATCATTGCGTATGATTTTCTGTATTTTATATATCCAAATCACAATAAAAGAATTACAATTCTTTTCTTTAATATTTAGATTTATGTAAATATGAATAGATCTTTTCAATTATTGCGATCAAATCTTAATATTAATGTTGAAATTTCCATAAAATAATTAAATTATTAATATTTATCACTATTAAATGAACCGCGCATAAATGAAATATAAAAATGCAAAAACTAATTGTTTCTAGATGTGTATTTTTCATCAAGTATAAAATGTTTATCAACTGTAAATACAACTGACAGGAAGGAAAGTATTAAAATTTCTTGTTATTCTATCTACGTATGTACGCAACTCTTTTAGTACCGTTAGGTACTAAAAATAAAGAATGCTAGAGCAAGCTAGAGATTTTTTTACCTGCGTCTGTAGCGTCGGGTATTTTGATCGGCGTGTATTTCTTTCATATATTATAAACTATATACGATACGATCATTCCGTGTTATTTAATAGCTATTAGTTATCACAAGACAGGGAAATCTTTTAAAGAATAAAAGAAGGAAAGAAAGAAATAACCCTATATAATTTACGATAATCTAATAATAATTATGTGATTAATTAAGCGCAATTCAATTAAGTTTGTACTTTATTGCAAAATTCTTTGATCAATTTGGAATTAATTTTCTGTGATAAAAGTGTTAAAGTTTTGATGATTTTTAAATTAGAAATAAGTAAAATAAAGAAAAATTAATTTCTAAACTTGATGAAAATGTATATCTAAAGACAACTAATTTTGTATAATTCATTTATGCGTGATTTATTCTAACAGTAATAAATATTAATAATTTTATTTTTAATGTAAATGTTATCATTAATATTAAGATTTGATTGCATTATTTGAAGAGATCTATTCATATTTATATTAACTGATCAATAAATTTTACTTTTCAAATAAAGAAAATTAATTAAGAAACATACAACGGGAAGGGAACGAAAAGAATTTACACGAAAGACATTTACAATATGTAATAATCTAATAATAAATTATAAATACATGAAAGCATGTTACAACTATAAATACAAAAGGTGACATGAAAATGAGGAAATATCCGCCTATATCGCATACGTTTACGTTCGAAGTTGCCGTGATTTTTTCTTAGATATGGGCTAGGCGATCGTCGATATTCGGTTCGGAACAGCGAAATTTACGATTACAGTTTTAAATGAACGTATTACACACATCACTCTTGTAATGCGCTGTAGGAACGCTCGTTTAAACGAATTCACGTTGTCTTCGGTCAGGCCGCTTTATAAGGCGCAGCCCCAACGTTCGTTCACATCGACTTTCGGCTGCTGCGCGCATCTCATCATCTACGACAAGATGATGAGCAGGCAGGCAGGCGAGCAGGCGAGAAACGAGATGTGCCCAGGCGAGGGCATCCCGCAAAGCAGTAACGGTACATTACGGACTCATCGGAATTCTCAGTATGTTCTATTCTCGACGTATGCTCGTCCCGATGCAGGTTTTGTTACAAGGTCCGGTTTTCTTCGAGGAGCGCGGTGCAAGCAGGGCAATCGCATCTCTATCGCGCCAGGGTAGAGACTCGTGTGTAACACAAGCGGGACAGGAAGTAGTGCGTCCGCCTTTGCTCTCGTCCTTACGATCATGACCCTTTCTCTCTCTTTCTTTCTCTCTTTCTCTGGGTCAGCAGGCTGAAGTCGACGTTAGTGGCGATAATGACACACTCCCAGTAAACGGAGAACATTTATTCTCGGTATTACTATTACTATAATAGCTACTGTCGTAAGAAATGTCGAAAAAAAAACCGTCTGAAGGTGATTGAAAGACATATTACCGTTGCCAGACGTCTTTATCGTATCTCTTAACATTCTTTCGCGTTCTTTGTTGTATGATTAGCAATTTAACGCGAATCATAATAATCAGTATGCTTATTACCGAAAATTATAAAGGGTTTGTGAAGATAGAAGTGCAATAAATAATTTTAGAACATTATCTGTCCATTAATCGTTGCATTAAGTCAGTTTACATATGTAAATTAATGTTATGGCATTTGACGTTAATTAATTAGGGAATAAGTTCTCGATAAAACTATCGTCGAGAAAACATCATGTTCTTATTTCTTGCAGAGGGAAACATTATTGTCTTTTTTTTACATGTTTTTTATGTAACACGTGATAATCCGAGATTCGGATTTTATGTTGTATTAATATTTTTGGACGATACAAAAATCCGGTTAAGGCGTCAGACGGAATGATAAAAATGTAAGATAAGGACGTCGTAAAAACATTCTAAGATAAAGATGTCGTAAAAATAAATTATGTAGCGACGATCGCTCCTTCGAATGAACCGTACTAATCCTCGGCCGATTCTTTCGATCTTCCCGAAACACGTTTGTCTTATTGCGATATAATAGCCATCGCGCGCAATCGTGATATAACTTTATGACGTAGCGCTTAAAGGAGTCGGTCAGTCCGGTGGATGATGTTCCTCCTGTTGGTGGACACCCAGGCTCATCTGAAGCGCTATTTGCACCTGCTCGAAACCGGCTCGGGGAGGCGGCGAGTCTAGTGAACTCGATCGAATTCCGAGACCGGATTCTGTGAAACGACGCGGCCGTCCACTGCCCCGATTTGTTTTTTCACTTGCCGTCGGAATATGTCCTCCCGAGGCTTTTGGCACGAGAAAGAGAGAAGAATAGGAGCGAATAGGATGCTCGAACCGTGTTTGCATTCAAGCTACTCAGAACAGATTTCGGTAGAAATGTTTTGTGATAAGGATCGATATAATTTGAGCATCATTGTGTTTTCCACTGAAATATCGATAGCTAGCGGTAAAAGAATAGAATATCATTATTTGCCAGATTTACTTTAAACATGAAAGTATATCTTATAAATTATAAACTTAAATAATTTTTACTTCAATTTAATTTTTTAATTTTAATAATAATTTATTATCTGCGGCAGTCTTATCTTCCGTAGTTCGCGTCAGACGACGGATTCTAATCGCGCGGTTTGATGGTTTGTCTAGATCTCATGAATTAATGAAACGTCGCAAATGCAAAACAACGCAAGAGATTGCGATTTGCAACGAAGGATTTGCTAGAAGTATTTCTTTTGAGAAATCTTTATTGCATTTCAATTTATGATAATTAAATCATTATGAACTGATTTTCATAATTGCTGAAACTCAAGCATCTTTATGATGCTTGACTTTCAGCATCTTATCTTCTCAATTTCAAGGTCATATATTTTAAAAAGTTTTAAAATAATGATATAAAGAAAAGTTCTTATTTAAAATATAAAAATTTAACAGTCATCATTATAAAATTAAATTATATTGGACAACCAATTAAAAAAAATTATTATTATGTAGGACGTTATACTTGCTTAAAATTTCTAAATTTTGGAGCTATAAAACGATATTTTTTATAATAATAATAAGTAATAATTATATTACTCGGCGAAATTCATTTCATGCCGTCACACACTTGTCAGATTTCTCCCAAGAAATAGTGCTCTAACCGATGAGATTGCCGAGTCATTCGAGGCCTCTAGCGCCCGAAATCGCTTTATATCAAGACGTCCAGGTAGAACGCGGTGTTTATAGCGCGAGTCCTCTCATTCCGACAAAGAACTATTCGAGATATTTGTGACTTGCGGATTTGACGAACGATTAGAAGCTCGGAACAGCTGGCGGCGGCGCGTCGGTAGACGCACTCGCCGAATTTCTCGGCTTGCAAACGCAACCGCTTTCCACCAGCACGTAATCCTGACCGGTCAAGGTTACCGGACCGAGAGGAATCACCAGAAACAGGTACGGTACGTAGGTCTGCGTGCATTCGCCGTGAACCACGTCGCATTCCTTTGATCTGAAACAACGACCGATGAAAGAGATTCTTGCTGGGTTCGTTCACCGGACAGGAGTTTACACGCGTGTTGTGTCAGTGATTCTGTAGTGCTTGGGATACGTAAGCATGTTGCTGACATAACTTCAAGTATAATACGATGTTCGCAGGATTGCGAAACTTGCAATCTATTCGTATTTATTGCACTTTTCGCAGCGATTATCAAAAGATGATTTTCTATAAGTCACAATTAAATAAAAAAGCGGGAGTTTTTTAAAATTATTTCTCATTCAAATTATTTTTTTGTTTTTATTTAATATATTGTTATTTTAAATTCTGTGATTTTTAAATGTATTTTGATAAATATTTTTTTTCAGTAAAAACTTGTACATATTTTTTTTTGTATCTTCTGCTAATGTTGCGAGAAAATGTAGACTTTAACTAAATTATAATTCAGCACGCGTAAGCCGTTGCTTTGCATAGTGATGTTTTACGCTAACAAAGCTATGCTCGAATTATCTGGGAAGGAATTTCGTGTAAAAAAAAACCTCAAAAAGTAGGTGTATGTCGATCACGAACACACAGTTGTAAACCAGTTTGTCTATTGTGCCGCATTCAAATTAATTCAGTGAATAGGCGGTGCAGGTGAATTTCAATTTAATCCGATGTCCCGTCGCTTTTATAAATTACTGTTCAAAATTTCGTGCAATATATCGCGTTGACAAATAGTGACCACACACCACACGAATACTATTTCCATAAATTAACTGCGAAAATCGTATTATACTTATTGTTAGTCAGGCGTATATATAAGGTGTCTTAAATAAATTTTGAGTCAATCTTTACTTTGGCAAAATTTCTAGGCAAGTTTCTTTGGCAACTTTCTACTTTTAACTGCGGAAATAAAATTGCAAAGAATGCAAAAGCGTGTTATAAATTCTATCGAGAATCTCTGTCGCGATACTTACTCGCAGACTTCGAAGACAACTTGTTGTAGGAGATCAGGGAACTTCTGCACGATCGTTACCGGTTGTCCACTAGTCAGACTAATGCCGTACATAGGCGCCGTGGTATTGTACCTTGTTTTGCAGAGTCTGGCTGGCGAGCCGCAACTTTCCTTCGCGGAAAATGCACGGCCTGAAAACCCAGTGACAATCATTTTGTATAATTTTTAATTCAGTTAATTATTTAATTGGCACTTTTTCCTTATTATGATCTACAATTATAATACGCTCTGCGATATGCAATACTTGATGCCACGCATTACATTTCTGCGCTATATTCATCTTTGCAAAACTAAACTTAACGTAAAACGTGATTGCGATTTATTGACAGTAGAACGTTATAAAACGGTATGGTATGAGAGAAAATCCCGTAACAGTACGGGATTTATGCTGGCTCCTATTGGAATCACAAAGATTAAAACAGCATCTTTTCAAGCATGTAATTCATTATTTGTCATTGCTCTATATTCAAAGATGCAAAAAGTTTTTTACTCAAATTTTAGCCCACTCGTAGACCACGCAGACAAAATAGCAGATACAATTTTTTTGTTATCCAAATAATATTCTTATTTTTATTATCAACAAGATTTTTAAAGAAGAAGTGCACACAATATTTTCATAAACTATATGTTTTTATTTTAAATACCGCTCTTCTTTTCTGAATAAATATAGCTATATATAAAGTTTGTTAGCTCAATGATAAAATAAGCTGCAGTTTTAATGGTCAATTTTGTACTCATTTTTTATGCTTGTGGTTTCGATTCTGACATAAATCCCAATGATTAATGTCATTTTAAGCTGAAAAAAATTCAGGCCAAAAAGAGAGTATCGTCGCTTAACAACTGACGCTGGCGCGAAATTCGCTCTCGAAATCAACGGCCTTCGTCGGATATCCCGAGACGAGTCACGTATGTATGCTCAAAACGACGAGTGGGTCGCCGGTCGGTCCCGTTATGAGCACAACGTGCGATAACTGTATTGGCCGGATAACACGGTGCCTTATTACCGGGTTTGTCGGTGTGCCACCGACCGACTATTATCGAGAGAATCGAGCACCTCGACGCGGCGGACCCCCTGGTCGGAAAAACCGACGCGAATCGTCTCTGCGGTCGCGCGAATTTCGCAGAAACCCCGGCGACCGGTCAGGAAGCACGAAGCGGGCTGGAAGCGGGTTTTCGTGTCATAAGGACAGCTGCATAACTCAAGGCTGCAGGGCAGTGAACAAACCGTGATCGTAAATGATTTACTCGCCGGTAGGTACCTACCAACCTCACGACCGATTGTTCCAATTTTCGTGGGGCCTGCTCGCGGAGCCCCGAGCGCGACCAACACACGGTGTGATCGCTGCAAATTTCTTCGAGGCCTCCGCTTGCGTGGGAACAGGGTCGTTTTATGCGAATATGCAAGTAGGAGTGCGCGCGCTTCACGGATAAATTGCATTTGCAAATATGGTTTTGCGTTTGGCTGAATAGAGTTCTGTAATAGATCCTGGAAGTTGCTGTGCAACGATCAGAATTCTCCTTACAGCTCGCTGTTTCTGCAAATAGTCACGTGACTCTCGAATTCAATTTCAATCTCAATTGAGGATCTGTGTGTTTTTATTTATATTCACGATTCATCTAATTTTACACATTTTAACGCGTATATTAATTTAGTTATTATAAATCTTAATTTTATTCTTAAATAGATTTATATATTATTAACTCTCAATTTTTTTTAAGACAGTTGAAAACGCAAGTAATTCCTTTTAAAGTTAAAGTAAGCAACAAGAAATTTTGTTTTTATTGTTTTTATTAATTTTTTCTATTTTTATATTATTCATATACTCTGTCAAAGTCGCTGGGGCGATCACTAATCTTTCCAGACATTTGTTTTTCTGGGCTTAATAATTCTCATCCTCGATTTGTACGACAAAGATGGGAACGAGTAATTTATTTACTTATATACGCGGAAGTAAAGAGAAGTACGAAGTTGTTATTACATCAATCATTGTTAAACTTCCGTTCATATACTTCATAAACGTCAAGGAGGATGCAGAAGGCATAAGAGGAAACAAAGGTTGCGTATATATGTGTAGAACCGGTTAATGAGAGATTAATGAGACTGCAGGTGGCTTCCAGTAGATCATAACTTAATTGCAGCTTAATTTTCTATTGTGGTACTTTTGAATTAAAGATACATAAAGCAGCGAAATGTTACAGTAGAAAACTAAAGTAAAATAGTTTAAAAAATTATTCTATAGTTAATGTTTTGCGCGGGTTTGCAAGCAACGGGAAAATGCAGGAAACGCAGGAAATTCTTAGATACGAAACTAGTTGTATTTAAGCTCGGGCTTACCGTTCCGGGAGCTTGCGGCGATGGAGTACTCCCCATGGGCTGCTTTGTAGTTGTTTAAAAGCACTTGTCTTGTCAGTTCGGGATTAATCGGCCGTGGCTGATGCGATCGCGCGGTTCGACTACTGCCCGGCCACTGATTCTTAAAGTTCCTCGATATCGCGGCGCTATAAGAACGGTACATATCATCCGTTGTTCTCTGCTCCTAGCCATTAAATCTTTTCCTCTTACATGCTACCGGTCGACAGTTCGAGTACAATCTGATTTTCAAAAGAAAGTTTAACAGTTTCCGATTATACTTGATTCATCCGGGAAAATACTTTCCTGTCAAAAAGATCAATTGAAACAAAAAACAGCGAACTTAAAATTAATCGTGCAAAAGTATTTCAAATCATAAAACATTTTTTAATAAATGTATTTTAATTATACTTAACATCACTTAAAAGAGATAAATATTTCCATTTGGCATAAATTTGGATTTTATGAAAGGAATACATTTATTTATCTAGAATAAATTATTTTATCAATCTTTTCTGTTAAATTAATACAACTAATTGCTGATTTTGCTGTAGAAAATATTAAGTACTCAAACTATTGATCGGTAATACATTGTCAGATAACAGAAATGTATGAAAAACGTTCCAATCTTTCAAATATCTTTTAAACATCTTTTGGATTATGTACTACGTTTGAATTTATTCTAGTTCAAAAATATCAAACTTGCTACTTACGAAGGATACTGCATATTATTCGGTCCTATACAATCATTAGAATCGGTGAATGCGTCGCCCCATGCGTATTTCAGACCTAGACCGTTGCCCTGGCACTTCTTGGCACCGTACGTATACGTAAAGGCCGTGATAAGAAGTAGCAGACCGAGATACCTGGACATCTGAAAGCAAAGAGAGAATGTTGTTGTTTTAGAAATAGAACAACAATAATATTCCTTCAATAAAATTTGCAGACAATTGCGCTTTGTAAGATTAAACACCTGTTTTAAAATTTTAAATCACTGTTGAACAATTACGCATAATCATACGAATAATTACATTACCATGAAATCAATTACAATTACATGTAAAATTAAAAACACATCGTATGCATTTAAACATCATTTCTTAAAACTTAATATAAACCGACGCGAGATACTTATAATTTTCTATTGCCCACTTACATTATGTCTAAAGTGATAGTGCAGTAAAGTTAATGTAGATATTCCACACTAGATATTACGTGTAGATATTTCTAGCATCATTTGCAGCGGCAGACCGCTAACATAACGTAACGTCGTATTAGATAAAGTGATAGTCGCGGGAAGAAGCGCTGTGCCGCGAGCGAAATCTTTTTCTTACCGGAAGGGTATTATTTTCTTGTTAATAAGGATTGATACTGCTGGCAATGAACTCACGCTACGTCAACATGTGTAGGCAGGATAAGCACGCAGAATACGACGGAAGAACGCATGAAGCGGGCGAGCGAGCGGTCTTGGAACCCGAGTTCGCAAGAGGTCAAGAGCAAAAGTAAATGACATATGCAGGTGTGAGCACACTTCACAGCCTGAAAGAAGATTCCGCAACTGTTTCCTGTTTCAAGTGAGTCGCTTTATTTTCAATATATGTATATTATTTAATGTGAATTCTCGAGTGTAATCAGTACATATTCGTATAAGAAATTTATTCGCTCTTCGTGACGTGAAAATTACAAGCATAACTGGTGATAAACAACCACGAAGAATGCAGACAAATTTATACAAATGCTACATTTTAGATAATTAAAAAAAAAGTTAAAAGACGTAGTTAAAAAATTCTTTTTATATAATCAAACTTTTATTTATTGCTTTATTTTTTTAAGACATCATTTGAAAGTGATTAGCTGATCAAGATATCTAGTTCTTTTATGGCCTATAAAATTTTATATATTCCTACTATAATATTCCGTACAAAATTACACTTTTAGAAGTATATATACCTAGTTTCCGCTTGTCTTTGATCATACATTCGCAATTATTGCTATACATCTCTCTAATTAATTCTTTTACGATATGTGCATCTTACGAACAGCGATGAGTAATTTGATGTAACGGATGATTATCGGTTCGCCGGGAAATCATCGGTTCTCGTGAAGCTTGCCATCATTTCGCTCTCGAATTCCGCGTTGAAAGGATTTCCGTTTCGCAAGTGAAGTTTACCGTGAAAAAAATCGCATGGATTAAAATTCTTTTTTTCCCTTTCTCGCCGTCTCGTACGTGGCGCGATAAAAATCGGGACGGTGTGTGCGAGAGAAAGATAGAGAGTGGACGATGACTCGACACGCGAATTAGGAATAACGATGAGCTGCGATCGTATAATTAATGCGTGACTCCCTGTATGCAGTTCGGGGTTTCTAGGTTGCTGGGACCACGTGAAATCCGTTATACGCGCTTATATGCTCACGATGAGTGAAAGCAATCACGCGTTTGAGAAGAAGCTCGTCGTTCGTGAGCACGACGTTGCATTTTGATTGCAATTTTCGCGTACCGGCGCCCGCGTTACCACGCCGAATAATAAGCGGCATTGCTTTCCAACGTTGATGCGAGTCCTCGTCTGGCGAGACTCAATTAACCCTGGCACGGTTAAAAGAAATTGACCGGTCTTACAGATCCGTTTCTTAAAAAAATAACTTATTTAAAAATTAAAAAAAAATTAATCTTTTTTATTTAAGATATCTTTTTAAGATATCACGCAATTAATTTTACTTATCAAGATCTATTAAATAAATTCTCTTTCTTTGACTTCACTTACAAAATGGATACTTCAATAAAATATTATAGTAATTTAAATCAAAAGATATATCTCAGGCTAATTAAAACAAAAGACGTTATTATCTTTTCTTATTCTTATCTCTTGTTTTTATTTTTTTTTTTATAAATTACACAATATGTTTTGTGTAATTTAATTACACAAAAGTAAACTAAATGTATATTTGTAACTCACAAACAAAATATTTTTTTGTATCAAAGTCGTATTAGGTTTTCGTATCGTACCATTGAAATTATATAATTAAAGTTGTATTCGATAAAAATTCCGATGAAGATTATTGCCTTTCGGAGAACGAATTGACTGACATTTGGCTAGCGCTCGGACCACGGTCAACAATGGGAGAGCAAGGAAATCATTAACGGATACCGTCCAAGGTTGGTCAATGGCCGTGACCGCCGAGAGCGCGTACGCGCGCGTGTACACTTGATGTACCTGTTACCTCGGTAAATCCTTGATCCCGGCTTTGATCTTCTCAATCTCTCTTTCTGTACTGTATCGGCGTAATTGTAATGATTTATAAACTCATCGGATTAAGCTTCATTGACGATATTGAGAGAAAATTAGAGCGGAGATGGATGAGACCGTTATGGCCGCGCGATTGAATCACATTGAAAAAGCACTTAAGATGTATCGTTAACGCAAAATTAAGATGAGAAAAAGATAATTGCCGATACGGCTACGTAATAAATTTGCGCAACGGTTAATGGATGATTACTCTCGTTACGGGCAGAAGTTCCCTCGAGTCCGCGCACTTGTGATTACTCTTTCGCTTCGCCCGTTTGCTTTTGACATTACTCGTCCTGGAAACGTAATAACAATTGAACGATCGTCAGATTTCTTTTTGCGGACGCAGAAAAAGCGCAATCGGCGCTCGATTAACGTTACGATTAATCAAAGTCCCGGCGGCGCTTCCTGTAGCGCGATTTATTTCGCGAGTCAGCGCGGCGCGTAAGAATCACGAAGAGAGAAAGAGAGATAGAGAACTAAATCGATCTTGTGATTGAGTCTTCGTTTCAATACCATGCTGCTGTATAACGTTACTTATTCCGCCATCGCGACCTTGCGGTTAATTAAAAGCGTTCTCACGCCGACTAGCGTGTTCTCGGGTCCGCGATGCGGATCGAGCGAATCGCGGGTCTTTTTACGGTCTGTCGCACCGTCTTGGATTTTCGCACGAGAATCACGATAAGACGCGGCGTGTACACGCGATTTGCACCTGGTTCGAATTTACGAAACGGGAAAAACAAATGTACAGATCAGTGAACTATTGAACTGGAAAAGAATTTTTGTGGTCGTCAGTTGGGAAGTCGATATGTTGACAAGCACAAATGTGAAATCATTCTTTTTAATATACTAAATTTTGACGCATATGATAAAAACGCTTTTACGCGAAATCTTTCTCTTATCTATTGAATTAATTAATAATCTACTTCATATATATAAATTGGGCGAATCGGCGAAATACGTCAGTACACACGATTCTTACTTCATTACATTCGATTGTCTCATCTTCGCGCTTTAAGAAAAATGATCGAAGCAAAAATAATTAAGACAATATCAATTATTGCAAATTATGTTTATAAACTTCTCTATTGAAAATTCTCTAAGTGCGTAAATGTCATTTCCTTTTTAAATTCGTTGCGTGAGTAGACAATGAGAAGAGGAAGAGAAGCGACGCGCACGTGGAAATCTGAACTTGAAGCTCGTGATCGACATATCCGCCGGCTCCATGCTGGCGGCGATTTCGGATGGGGATGCTCAGTTATTATATGCAGGCGGCAATTTCTCACGACGTTTTATAATCTTCTCGGTTAGGCATAAATGTATTGTATTGCCGCTAAAATTATAATTGCCTTCTCTCTCTTTCTTGCTCATCACGATATATGGAATAACGCTATAAAATGTATTCTTTCGCCGATACATTGTTTCGGAAGTAGATTATTTTTTTTCCATATATAAATATATGTAGTATTATATAATAGAAACTGTCAATTTATAAAATTTCTTGTTTTTTGTTTATATATTGCATGGATTAGGCTTTGAAAGATAACCGCTAGATATAAATCTTTTTATGGAAAGTAAAATTTTTTATAAATAATGAAATAAACATAAAAATTATTCTTTTCTTCAATCCTTATTTTTTTGTGAGAATTACAGTTGTTTGTGTACTGTTTTATCTTTGATTTATCTATAATTGTTAGAATAACATGCAGAAATAATGTGCAGAAACAAAGCCGTTTTATAGAAAGGAACGTGTAAAATTAATGCGAATGTAAACGACGAGAAATTCTCAAGTCAACACCATACATTTCTATCTTACCGCATGTCCCTTATCAGTAAGGGAATCGGTGCTTACGGTTCAGTTGAAGATATAAGAGACACTATTTTTACTTGTCTGGCTTTGCATAATCAGATACAACACTTCACAATTAAATTTAATTTAATGCTACGCGTTCTGTAAAAGCGTTTTGTATATAATTTTTATATTTTCTTTAAAAAACACTTTGTTTTTAACAGTTATAAGTAAAACAATAATATGTAATTTTAGCTGAACAAAATTAAATGATTCCGCGGAAGAGGTTCCAAAAGAGTTTAAATTCAATATCAAAGTAATGTCAATCCAAATAGCAGCAAAGTGGCTTTTCTATTTGTTTTCAAATCTAAATTCAATTTATATTTATTAATTATTTACTTTTATGCCGAAAAATTATTTAAGAGACTCGATTGCTAACAGTTCTTAAGAGTTGTTCAGGACGAGAATCGAGGAATTTTTCGGCTCTTGCCGGTTTTAAGGAACCGACTTCTTACGGTCCATACACGATGCGTCACCGAATCTAACGGGAACGTTGAATCGTCCAAAATGTCGTTTATAAGTTATACAAGCTGAGCGTTATAGTGTATGTTTACTCATCCTTATGCTCGATAACGGTACACACGTTTCGGTGGTTCATGTCATGAATAAATTATTATAACTGTCTATTGCAAGTGCATTTACATTATATATATATATATATATTAAATACATTTTTAATATGAAATCATAAATGCACACGCACAATTTCAAGAACTAGCAAAAGCAAGAAAATTTAAATTTGTTTCGAATATTTAAATATATTTTATTAGCATTTATTTATTATTAGAGAGATATTGAATAACGTGTGTGTATTAACACAATACCCTTAAAAACTATAATTTTATTAAACTCTGACTTAATGCATTAAATATTTTTATTCATCACTGCTTATATCGATGCATTATAATAGAAAGAATTTTTGATCATTAATATTCTTCGCGGAAAGGGCGAAAGGGTTCGAATTATAACTTCGCAATGGTATACTTTGAGGAAAATCCGCAGCTCGTAGCCGGTATATTCAAACCCTCATACTTCATGATAAACGTCCGAAGCATCACCCGGCACTTAAGTACTCGAACTCAACCGTATAAAGATCACTTTTGAAGCGTTTCAGCGCTTCTCTTTCTATCTGCGCGAGCGCGGAGGAATTTCGCATATCACGAAGGGTGGTTTTGCAACTGTTGACTCGCATGACAGTCTAAACTTTGTTTTAATCTTATACGAATCTGATCCCAAGTAATTTTTCTTTGTCATGAGTCGAATCGTTCTAAGTAAGAGTCTGACAAGAATCGAACGATGGAGTTCGAGTTACAAAAAATAAATTTCAATTCTATTAAAAAAAAAAATATTTTATCTGCTGTTACTTACCGTGAGGAACATTTGTTTCAGATTGCGTTACAAGTCCTTTCTCGGCCCGTCCGGCGACCTCCACGTTACATTAAAATCGATCAAGTCGTCCTCGAGACTGGGTAAGTAAAAAAAAAAAAAATGTCCGAAAAAGGGAATATTTAAATTGGAGCACACGAGTCTCTCTTTTTCTTTTTCAAACACCGTTCATGTCACTGCACCGGATGTCGAGCGGGGTCGAGCACCTCCGTCCTCGCAGGTGGATGTCCAGAGGTTGACTGTAGAATCGTAAGTAACCGCTCTCTCTGTGCTTGGGCAGCGAGTTGGGGCGAAAGAGGGGATCTCTCTCTCTCTCTCTTTTTTTCTCTTTCTTGTCGGGGATACTGGCCCCTATTCTGTCTCTAAACCTTTTTCCACCTACTAATGAAAAGAGAAGATGATCCAGTGTGAAGGAGGATAGCCTTTATCGTAGAGTCCCCCCTTTTTTTTAGATAAGATTAAATCAGGCAACGACGAGTATGAGAAGTCTTTTTCACAAGGACCAAAAGTCAGGGGTTTTTTAAAAGAATAACTGTCCATCCTATTCAAAGGAAACGACAATCAATTTCAGATTAATTAAAAAAGATATAGATTTTACAATTGATAAAAAAATATTTTCTTACACTAAGCATTTAAAATTTTTATTTTATATTTTTTTGCTATAATATAAAAAACTGCGAGTTCTATTAGGATTTCCCGACATTTTATAACTTTTTTTATACTAGCAATAAAGTAAAATCTCCAAGTTAAAAAGAGAGAGAGAGAGTTGTTTTCAAAGATTGAATAAACATAAGTTTGTTTCAAATTTATTTTTAAAAATTGTGGTAAAGAGAGGCTCGTAATTTTAATTTATACAGACGAGAAAATATAATGATGCAAAGTGCATATTTCTTATTATCGTATTACTATAAATTGTAAAAATTCTGTGAATTTTTTTCACACAAAGGATAATGATGAATTGTCTATAATTATCCTACAAACATTTGTTGTTCTGAATAATATATTGATTATACATTTTTTTGCATGAGTACCGATAATTGATAATCAATCATGTTTCAAAATTTGTTCAGTACTAGAATCAAGTTAATTATTTTGGTTGCTAGTTTTTTATTATTATGTAAAATTGTGTATTTTTAATTAATATCAATTATGAAAATTATAAGAAAAAATTAAGTTTTGTATGGATTGCAAGCTAATTTTAATCTTTCTTCACGCGCGCGTATATAAATTCTGAATTCACAAATTTTTACATTAACCGTAATATAACAATATATAATGCACGTATCAACAGTACAAAAGCTGTTAAATATATTCATAATCAAAAGGGAATGTATTTTTTGACCAAAATTATATTGCATTAAATTATCATCGTTATGTAAGATATAAGAAACGAGTTTTTATTATCAATTTTGAAGTAATTAGCACATGTGTCACAATGCGTTAAAATTAACAATTTTGATATACAGTACATAATTACGGATATTAGCGATTACGAGAATAAGAAACATGTAGTTTTGTCAAAATGTAAACATTACTTGCTAATAACAATGAATTGTTTGCGTTCTTTCTAGTAATAGTAAATTCAGTTGAATGCACGAAATATAAAAATGTTACTGCACATAAAATTACTTAATTAAGAAATATAGCCATGTTTAATATTTATTCTGTCAAATAACTAGTGTTAATTTGTAAATTTAATTCAATGCACATATATTGTATACTATACTTAAGACTTTGTGTTAATTCATATATAATAGTATTTTGTACATGATCGTAAGCATTCAACCGAATCTGCTATATAACTCTCCACATTGCTTTTTTTTAACATTCTGTAAACCATTTTTATTTTATATTTTGATATAAATCGTGATAAGCAGTATATTTAACTTAACATATTATCTAACTGATCTAAATTTAATGTGAAGAATTATGAAATGTGTATGTAAATATAATTGTTTAATCGTCGTCAAATTTAATGGAATTAACACTCATATCTATCTGCCCACCGCGATAGCTACCGCGTTTCTTCTTTTGCTTCTCATGGCGGAATGACTTTCCCTTTGTATACTTCAATACTTGATTAGCTCGTTCTCCCCACGATCCACGTGCACCTTTCTGTCAATCCAGGAAGACGAGATTACATATCATGACAATCAAAGTATATCCTTCAGTAAATGCAATTGCGATTAGTTCCTTACCATTATGTACAAATGTTTAGCGATCATTAATCGTCGAAAGTAATCTTTTTATTTTGAGGAGGTGCCGAAATATCGAAAGACTTCCTCTTATCAAAACCACCCCTAAAACCACCACGATTTCCCCTATCGCCGTCCGCGTTGTTTCCCCACGATTTTCTTGGTCCATCGTTATCTCTATTTCCCCAGGATTTCCTGCCGTCGAAACCGCCTCTACCGCCACGACCACCTCTAAAATCACCGCGACCACCTCTAAATCACCGCGACCTCTACTTCTATCGCCATCCCTGTTGCCGCCGCTCCAACGATTACCCCTATCGTTATCACCGTCCCTGTCGCCGCCACCGCTCCAACGATTACCCCTATCGTTACCGCCGTCCTTGTCGCCGCCCCCGCCCCCGCTCCAACGATTACCCCTATCGCCATCCCTGTCGCCGCTGTTACTCCAACGCCCGCCGCCACCACCACCGCGTCCGCCTCTAAAACCGCCGCGACCACCCCTGCCACCCCTAAATCCGCCTCTAAATCCACCACCTTGTCTCTTAAAACTATGATTGTTTTCATTGTCATCCTAAAACAAAAGAGAAGAACAGATCAATCGCCCATATTCTTAAAAATATTGTACAGTAGTTAGTTTATTTTATTGTTGTTATTCGTTGTGAATCCTAAATCTTTGCCGAGTGAATGCACGGAAACATGGCCTTAAGGATGGTCTCAAGCATTTATAAAAAGGACGAGTGACCTGTACCTCTCGGACGGTTTCCGAGCATTTACCTTTGCTTCGAAGGAATTGTTAGCCAATTTAGGATCCACTTTGACCTCGTCACTTTTTACGCGTTGGTATGTGCGATTTTGCTTGCTCTAAATAAAAATCATAAGCGATAAGAAAATAATAAAATTTTGTTGCATCGCATAGATGCAATAGTTACATTCAGTAAATTATAATTAGTATTTTAATACGTTCAATGAGCAAATGTGAATATCGCAAATAAATTACAAATATATTTACCAATCATTCTGTCAAGTTTCTTTTCAATTAACGTTCACTTTGAATATTTAAAATACATTTTACAAAATTAACGTACCTTGTTGTCTCCATTAAAACTATTATTAGCTTTCACGAAGTTGCCATAATTATTTTTGGCACCTTTTGCTGGTGTTTCATCGTCATCTGTATGTTTCCTTTTCTGTCCTTTGGCAGGCGTTTGAATCGCTGCTTTCGGTGCTTGTTTCTCTTCGCTAGAGTTACTCTCTTCCGAGCTAGAGGCCTGTTTAGTTGCTGGCTTCGGTTTTTCTTTTTCGGATGAGTCTGAATCAGAATCATCTGAAGATTCTTTCTTAGCAGTTGCTTTTGCTGGTGCTTTTAGTGTGGGTTTCTCAGCTGGTGCTTCGTCTTCCGAATCATCTGAATCTTCACTGGAAGATTCTTGCTTTTTAGGTGCTGGTTTGCTGTTTGCTGCTTTTGGGGTTACTTTTGCCGCTGGTTTTTCATCCTCCTCGGAGTCATCGTCCGAATCATCGCTCGATGATTCTTTTTTCTTCATAGGATTAACTTTGCTCGTCGTGTTTTGTTTTACAACAGCTGGTTTTTTAGCAGGAGATTTATCTTCACTGCTCTCTTCACTGCTATCTTCGCTGGAAGATTCTTTCTTGGCAGGTGTTGTTTTCGTTGCTACTGATGGTTTATTGACAACTGGTTTTTTTGCAGGTTCTTCATCTTCGCTACTTTCTTCTTCGCTCGATGATGATTCTGCATGGACTGCTTGTGTTGGTTTACCTTGCTTTTGTGATTGTAACTTAGAGGTCACAGCTGTTTTTGCAGATGTTTTGCTAACAGGTACAGGTTTTTTAACAGGAGCTTCGTCCTCACTGCTCTCTTCATCCGAGGAAGATTCTTTCTGTTTAGCGGCAACTGGAGTTGGTTTCTTAGTAGGCTGTTCTTCCTCGCTACTATCTTCACTCGAAGATTTTTTTTTAGCAGGTACTGCCTTTGCTGGTATGGATGATTTACTGAGATTTGATTTTGTTTGTACAGATTCTTCTTCATCACTACTTTCCTCGCTCGATGATTCTTGTTTTGTAACTGGCTTTGAAGGAACTGGTTTACTCTGTTTTTGTGGCTGTGTTTTTGCAGCTACTTTTGGTGTAGATGTCTTAACGGCTGGCTGTTTGACTGTTGATTTTTCATCTGATGAATCGTCAGAATCATCGCTAGAGGATTCTTGGTTCTGAGGAGTTGGTTTACCTGCAGGCAGCTTTTTACCAGGTTGAACTACTTTTGAATTTGCCGTTACTGCTTTCAAAGCAACAGCTTTCTTTTTATCATTTGTTTTTGCTTTTTGAGTTTCTTCTTCAGAACTCTCTTCTTCAGAGCTCTCTTTTTGAGCTGCCTTGGCATTTGTCTTTACTTTTTGTAATTGTTTCTGAGCTGGTGTCTCATCATCACTGGAAGAATCTTCCGAGGAAGATTTTGTCACCTGCTTAAGTGGTACAGTTTTAATAACTGATCCCTTGCCATTTACTTGCTGGGTAGAAATATTTGTTTTCTGTGATTCCTCCTCAGTCTCCGAACTCGAATCTGAACTGGACTTTTTACCCGACTTGACTACAGTGACTTTTTTAGGAGCGTGTTTTTGGAAATACAAAAATATTTCAGATAATTGCGGACATCCTTTCGTCAATGCAGGCTGAAACATACAAAATATTAATAAAGCAATTTATCCCTCACATCGATATGTTCGCAAAATCAATTTTATATCGATATAAAATAACTAATTGTATATAATATTTGGAAATTTACATAAATATATATATCTATATATATATATATATACAGAGTGATAAAATATTACTATCACACGTGTATAATAAAATAATCGAGACAAATTACATTCGGCGGCTGCACCCACGTGGTAATGAACATGGCGGCGATTCACCGCGTGGTCGTTATTGGCATAAATTTATAACGTCGCTATTAAAACTTACCGCGTTTGTTTTTTTCTGAAAGACATTCGCCAACGATGTATCCGTTTCCAGTAAATACTGGTGGATGAGACCAGATATGAAATATCTGTCGAGATTACTCATGGTGCCGAACAATAATTGCAGTCGTACGCAATTTAAGATTTCGACTTACGCTACTCTTCGTCTGCTGTGAATCAATCGTAGCTGGTCACAACCTTCTCCTATCTCGCAGGTTAGTGTGCCGGCTTCGAAGCTTCTGTGAACGCAACGCTGCTGTTATTCGGCCGTGGTTCACATAATATTACTAGATAGACTATTAAGCTCTATTTGGACTTGCACAGTCGCATAAGGTCTGTTCTTTATAGCTGAACTGGCTGCACTAGTTCAGAGTTTATCTTTTTCCCTCCATATTGGAAGAAGAAAGATAAACTCTGAACTAGTGCAGCCAGCTCAACTATAAAGAACAGATCTATAATGTACCAAAGAGATCCGCCAATCAAGAACGTAATTATTAAGAATGCAATAGGCCGAATTTCCACTGAGCGCGTCACGCGCGACGTCATCCGCACGTCACGAATTAACCAATCAAAACATCCCATTTTATTGCATTATTTGCCGCGCGAATAAAATGGGATGTTTTGATTGGTTAATTCGTGATGCGGCGGACAACGCGACGCGTGACGCGCTCAGTGGGAATTCGGCCATAGTGTAACATTATTTTCATTGCACACAATTTCTTTGTTATGTGCATTATTCAGCTACACAAGTTTGTCTGAATGGACTTTAATAGAGAGTGCCTGCATTGCTCATGTAAATGTTCATTCGGAGCGCGCGATTGGTCGAATCGGTCAGTCAAATCTTAGCCGTTTTCTTTGAAATTCGCAATCCATTACGCGAAATATCGCCGTTAGTTTTTCCTCGAAAAGTAGTGATTTAATTTTATGGAATTATGACAGAGACACAACAAAAGACCAAGTGTATTACTCTGAAAGGCTCCGCTGAATTGGTTACACAATATCTGCGTAAGTATAATCTTGTCAGTGATAATTAATTTACAAACACTTGTAACCTCTCTGATTGTTATTTCATTGCAGTGTATGGAGTCAACAGTATACTCTATCAACGAGGAATTTATCCACCAGAGACGTTTCAGCCTTCTGAACACTTTGGCTTATACATCTTTAGATCCACGGACGAAAAGATCACATCTTTTTTAGATACTGTTCTGGGACAAATCCAGGAATGGCTTGTGCAACGTAAGGTACGTAAGATCACACTTGTCATAACAAATGTGAACACAAAGGAGGTTTTGGAGAAGTGGGACTTCAAGGTTGATTATGAAGATCAAAAGGCAAATGGAACTGATAGCAATATCAAAGCTGATTTGCCTGAAATGGGAACAAAGGATGTGAAAACTATACAGAAAGAAATACGGGAAGTGATTCGTCAAATCACAGGTAATTCCTAGTTACGTGGAGATTTTAAGCAAATCTGTTTTTCAGATTCTTTTTTTACTGTGTTCGGTTTGTAATATAATATATTCTTGCAGGTACAGTGAGTTTTTTGCCACTTTTGGACTGTTTGTGCTCTTTTGACATACTTACATACACAGTACCTGACTGTAGCATTCCTAATCAGTGGGACGAAACTCAGCCAGTTTTTATTGCAAACAGTCAGGAGGTTCAACTGAGAACATTTTCAACTTCTATACATAAAATGGATACTGTAGTTAGTTACAAAAATATTTGAGGCTTTATATGATTTCTCTCGCAATAAATGTAAATATATAAATTGCATTTTGTCTGCTTATGTGCCACTATTATCAACCACTATTGCCAAAGATTGGTCTTTAATTGTTGCTTATATTGTCTCATAAGAATTAGTGATTGTGAATTATACAACATAATTTTTAAAATATTTATGACACTTTAATTAATATGTAACATTTAAATAACGTATCCATTTTCAATATGTTTTGTACAAATATATTTTTCAAAGAAATAAACCAGTCTTCTTTCTTTTAGACATATGTAAAGTACTCAGAGAAAAAGGAATACAAAATTGTAAATACTATTATACATCAAATTATTTTAATGATATGAATTAAAAACTATAATAATAACATAATAGTATATTTATAGTTACTTTTTGTTCTTATATTAATAATAAACTTTATAAGTTCCATTTTTTCGAGTACTCACCAATTATGAATAATTATAATAAATAATAGAGAAATTATATTTTTTGCATATGTGGAAAAAAGAGATGTATCAGAATTCGTAAAAGGAAGTAATTAAATAGTAAAGAAGTATATGCAGCAAAAATTTTAGCAGATTTATTAAAACATGATTGTTTAGTATACTTAATACAAGAGTTACATTTGCTTATTTGGTAAAGCATGAAATACATCTGAAATAAAAAGCATTTTCATTGATAGATGTTTAATTGTCTAATGTTAATGTTTTTCAGTGTAAGACCTTTTATAAATTTATAATTCTCTTTCTAATTTCAATTATTTCTTAATGATTTCTTGCATTATACCATCTTGGAATCTTATGTTAAACATAAGATTGGAATTATATGTAATTCAAATATAAGAGTTATATTCTTTTAATGTAAGCAAAACATATTGTACAAATACATATTTATAGATCTGAAAGATTAATATAACGTAATCTACCTAGTTTGGATATAAATAAAATGTCTGTAATAAAAATTATCTTGTGCTTTATATGCACTGCTGTTTCTTTACAATATCAATACTTAGTATTTTATCTGATGACAAATCTAAATGAATAAAAATATAATGAATTGTATTTGTTTATGCTTGTGTTATCACAATTATATATATATTTACATAATGAATGCATTATAATTATTATGCATCATTGTGTTTGTAAGCTTTTAGCTTTTAATTTGAATTTTTGTTAGTAGTAAATATAATTATAATATAGTTATTTTAAATAAAATATATTATTAATTAAAACAATTTATTAAAAATAGTTTGTTTATTAAAAATGTTTTATTCAATGTTTTAATCGTGAAACTATCCGTTTGTAATATTGCCATATCAAGAGATACATTTGTATTTCGCGCCATTTTCTTGCAAACGTATTTCGGCGCTGCGTGCGCAACCTAAACAGTTTCATTCCGCGCGTCGTTTCAGAACGTAGAATGCAAATGCTTCGCGAATAATTGCAGTGAATCTTAATCGTATTAATCTGTATTAAATAATGCATAATGAGCGTGAATTTTTATCGGGGGTATTGATTAAAGTGATGCGCGATTGTCGGAACATATTATTTATCACGATTGTTCACGATTAATTGTGTTTCGAAACGGTATGTCGATCATTGTTGACGCGGATTGAAATAGGCAGAGTATACCAGTGAGTACAGATTTTAATATTATAGACGTGCATACAATAATGAGTAAAGCGTGATATATTAGATGCAACATTTAATTAGATGTAACATATTGAAAATTCAGCTCATTGGAAATAAATTAGGTAAAACATGATACACTTACATCTAACAACCTTGACGTGATCGCCAAGACAATCATTATTTGTTTCACTCGTTCTGAGTGCACACACAATATCGAATTAACTACGCAATTTTTAAAGTAATAATAATTTACTATAATTATGTACATGGATGTGTTCTGCACAAAGTGCATTTTATTTGGCATTTTATTTTATGTGATATCTTCAAAATGTATTGTAAATTTATTTATTTATAATTTTTGACTGTGAATTGTATAGATTGATATTTCTTTTGCAGATGTGTGACTGACAACAAAATAAATGCAACCGAGTTTTTTATATTCTTTGATGGGGTTGATACAGAACAATTTAAGGCGAGATCTGTATGGATGAAGTAAACTGCAATATCCTGGCTGGTGAGTATAATTATTTGTTTAAATATGCATAATTATTTACTTATGCATATAATTTTGACATACATACACAATTATAATTTATATAAATTAAATATTTATTAAGATGCTTGAAAATGCCTATTAATTTTATACGCTGCTATAATCTGTATGTTCTTTTGTATTTTACAGATCAACTTTGCAGATCAACAACTCCGCTGCTGCTGCGTATTGTGCCGGTAAGTCAATATGACTTGTGTGTTTTATTCTTTAATAATTATTAAATTTAATATTATATCTTGTCTCATTGTAATTTCTCATAGCAATTTATAATTTTTATTCACTCATAATTTCTAGTTAATGATTGAATTATAATTCATAGTTTAATTTAGCAGAATTCAAATTATACATATCCTAATCTTTGCTAAATAACATTAATTTAAAACAATTATATTATTAAGTTTATTAGTAATAAAAATTTATGTCGATTGAAAAGCTAGACAGTTAAGTTGAAATCTCTACTAAATTAATTTTTGCGAAATGATGCATGATAATTATGGTGCGATATAAATAAACACATAAATCTATTATTATTTACAGATTATTTAAAATATACATAATTATGATAACACATATACATATTTACAATTATGTAATTGTTTTTTATTCAAATAATTAGCATGTATTTTAAAGATTTATTCTTGGGGTGTCGTTAGTTTTACAATTTTTTAAACGAAATTATTAAAATTTACTGCAAAAGCTTTTATACATATATCACGAAAAATGTTTAAAAAGCATTATTTTATTTTTGCAATGTTGTTACAAGTATAAGTATTTTCCATTTATTCGATCATGTATCTAGATAGTTACTATTTGTCGTATTATATTTGGATATATATATGGAAGTAAAAATTTCGATGTGCATCTGTTTTGCCCTATTTTGATCACAGAAATATTTTATGAATTTTTTAATCTTGTACCATTTTAATCTTGCATTATTTTACATTAATCTGTAATTACGATTTTATCGTTTATTTTGCATAATAATTACAGATCATAAATGAATCTTGTTTCTTAACTTAGGGAGAAAGTAAATATTTTGAAACACATAGAGAGCGTAACATTTTTTATTGCATATTGTTCATTAGGCGATATCGTCATAAATGTGGCGTTTTCTCCTCAAAGAGTAGCCAATTATCGGAATAAAAGAGTATCGCATCTTCCATTTATATCTGTCCCGAGCGCGTCTCGGTCTTGTCGATACACGATCGAAGAAGATCGTTCCGGGAAACATCGATGCCTTTATTAGTAATTCGCCGTTACGTCTCTTTTACAATAATTTCGCTATTAACGTTAATACTTCGTGCTGCTAGAATTAGCCATATTAGTTCACAGTGCGTAGTCTCTTTGCTATAAAGACTATCGCGGAACGCAAACGTTCGCTTTACGCGATATTGACTCGGTCCGTTTGGCTCATTTTTGAGACATATGGTACTTTTGAGAAAATAGTACTTTTGAATATTCAAAATCATAAAATATATTCTAGACTCTTGATGTAATTTTATAAACATTTTAGATTTCGATGATTTACCTTTGCAAATGTCAAGTATTCTATATTTATGCGAATAACATCAACAAGTTTTTCATTTTTTTATCTTTAATGAATAATTCAGATTTTTATGATTTAACATAGTTGTCTTATTTTAATATCTATTTTTTCTTAAATTAACATTGTGAAAATGATGTAAAGCCAAGAATTTTTTGGTAGATAAAAATGATACATTTTGCAGGAGATAATTTTTATTTCTAACGTTGCGATGTTTCGCGAATATAATTGTGTACAATTAGACGTTTATAAGATTTCCAACTCGAAATATGTATTCTCTTTCTCCTCAAAAGTACGTGATTTATACCAAAGACGGACGTTACACTCGTAATAATTTTCCGCACTCAAGCCATACGCTTTTTAAATGTGCCCTAGACTAGTTTTACTCCGAATTCGTTTTTATCTCACACACACTGCGAAAGCTGCTGAAAATACGCTGCAGTTTTACAAACGTATTTATCTCGCTGATCCGCAACACCGTAAGAGAGCGACACATCAGACAGTTGACGGTAATCGAATTCGCTAGTTCATGATTCGTTTAAAGTCATTTCGCGATGTAAATTAGCGAGACAAGATATACTTCGTTAGAAAAATTCGTGGAAAAGAAGATATATACGTAACAAAGAAAAAAATCATTTTTTAGCTAATAATCACTGAAGTTCAATGTTACGTAGTAAATGTAGAAGTTACAGTTTAATGAGTAAAATTGATACTGATTGAAAGTGAATTTTAAATAGGATATTAATAATAGTTTTACTATTAGCCTCTTAATTGTCGGAATGTAGTTTTATTCGAATTTTTCTCCAATGACAGCAAAAGTTGTTTGGAGCAATTGCGCAAAAATAAGCTCTCCCTTAATTTTTGTATACTTTTTTTATATATTCTATTTTTGTATATATTCTACTACTTTTATTTCGTGATTCATAATAATTTAAAGTGGCGACATTGTTCACGATAGATAGGTCCTTTTGTCGCAACTTATACGATATAACGGTGCAGCACGGTTCGCGTCTTTAGTAACATTATGCGGTAATTCTTCGCAAATACCGTAGAAACGCGTCTCTAGTAAAAACATTGAAAAATAAACAACGCGAAATAATATACAATATTTTACAGTAGCGCTTAGTATACTAGTGATTGGGCATCGTCCTCGCAGAACGGTGATTCGCGGTGATCATTTGAGAAATAGCTTTGATCGTGTCGTTCGATCGTATTCTTCATACAATCCGGGTTCTACGAGTCACAAATACTCTCTTTCTTTCTCTCTCTCTCTTTCGATTGCAATTTTGATCGAATACGTGAGAGGATAGAAATCGATACTATCGTTAAAGTACTAACATCCCGGTCACTATAATTGATAAAGTAAACATCCATCGTTAATTAATCAATTGCCGATATGATGGACGTATGCGCGTGATGCTCAATCACCGTTCCGCGGTCCCATCCATCTCGTGGACCGAAAATCCATTTTCTTCTTACGTGTAAAATTGCGTTCGATCGCGACGCGGTATTTCGCGCGAAACGTACGCAAAACGGCACGCCGCATTGTCATTTTATTTATACATCTCTACTTAAGTTTATCTTGGACTAACGCTATATCGATTTACGATCATTTTTTTATGCGTAAAATATCATAAAATACATTCTTTCTTTTGTTCACTATTCGCAGACTCGCCGTCTTGTCTCGGTAATCGCGCATTCGTGTCGAGTCAATGTTAAACGAATCATTAAAGAATCTTGAAGAATTTAAGAATTAAATTGATTTAATATTTTGACAAATTAAACTAATATTTTGAATAATATAATATTATATTTCTGAATAGTTATCAAAAATTGTTTTGCGTTTTTTCACAGTATATCACATATGTATTTTTAAAATGTATAAAAATTAAAAATACATTTTATGTTTTTATATATTGTTGAATAACAAAACAAATAATATTGCACCAATTTCATACTATGTTGTAGAAATTGAGAATTATATACAAAAATAATATTTTTCAATGAAGATTTTTAATATTATTTGTGCAGCTTTTATCCATTGGCATTTTCGCTGCAATAAAATCAAAACTCGATTAATATCGACTCGCGTGATATCGATTGTTACGGCAAGTCTTACGATGACTCACGATGACTTTCATACAAATCGTTCGATAGGTACGAGCGACGAAATGAATTCGACGAAAAAGCACGGCGGCACTAGTAAGCTTGCACGGACATCATACGCTACGGCGATCTCTCTTTCTCTTCTTCTTGTTTGAGAGTCCTTTCGGTTTACATAGCTAGAATCGCAAAGTACTTTCCGTTTCTCATCACATGAGAGAACGATTCGGAACACTCTGCTCGTTTGTTCGCCCACAAAACTACCTATACATAATTGTATGTTTCTAAAATGTAAAAAGTAAGCGCATGCGTCCACTCTCGTCGACGGAAGCACGAAACGTGTTCGGTCATTATTTGTACTACCAGCAAATGATAAAAAATATCGCTTTGGAATTTTTTGTTAATTTTTCTCAAAGTATTTTACATCATAATTTTGTGACGATTTATATACTGAAAAGTAAAAATGATAGAAAAAGTGAAGAAAGTTAAATAAGCTATAATTATAAACGTGTGATTGTCAAAATAATTTAACAATTTTTACTCCACCATGAGAAACGTATTTATAATTTAATATCAAAAGAATTTAATATCGGAAAATTTAATTTGTTAAATTTTATTTTTGAATAATTTAATGATGCGCGATATAATTCTATAAAAATAATTTTTAAACAATCGTACGCAGAATGAAAACATGAATTATTATAAGAAATTCTTAGAAATCATTCGCATTCGCTATTACGGTCGCGATGAGGTTGAAAATGTAATTACTCGTCTCTTCTAGCAAAAGCTGCTCTTATGCCAATGTTTATTGCGAGCTTCGTTAATTAAAGTGTACCTGGTTTTACTATTGAGTGGCGACAACGTAACTGGTTGAAAATCGAAAAGCACGGGAGAAACCATGTCATCGTCGTCGTACAATTTCACCATGTCTTCTGTTACTCGCCTTTCACGTTTGTTTGTGTTTTCCGTTCCGCGGGCGGAAAACGAGGAATCGACACGTTTCGATCGCGCGAGAGTCGACGCATTGCGCCGGACGCCTAAAAAAGGAGGTACGAGGGATTATTTTGTACAATTGGGGCACCCTGAACGCGTCATTGAGGCCGGATTTCTTTTCGGCGAAATCTCTTTGGAGCACTTTTTCGCGGTTGACGCAGGTCTTCTCTTAGCGTACAAACATTTGTGACATATCTTCCGGCTTGCATACAAATTTTTCGGCTTTAATATATTCACAATTTTAGTGTCCATTTCTCGAGACTTGAGATGTATGTCTGATACTTTGAATTTTAAAGCTAGTATAACTAAGAAAGATAACTTCAAATCACTGTGGTGAAAATAAAGGAAATACGTGACAAAGATAAAGGAAATATAATATTTCATAATATAATTTCGTAAGCGTAAAGAAATTGAAACGTTTTTTCGCAATATAAATTTGTGGAATATAAACATATATATATATGAATTATATATATATATATATAAACTATCTCGTTTCGTATTAATCTATAAAATATTCTAAAGCCTAATTAGAATTTGGAACTAAAGTGGTTTATGTAACTGTAAGACACTTTTGCTAATTAATGCTATGTTCCGTTTGTAGATGTTGAAAATTTTGCGTTACTTGTTATTGCTTGTCCGGAAGATATCGCGGTCTCCTCTGCGTAAAACTCTGATCCTGAAAATCCTATTACAGTACTCGAGATCATCCTCGTGAGTCCCTCTTCGTGCGCAATCCCGTAAAATGATATCACGACATCTCTGCTGTACTACGTCGATCTGCGCGTGTGCCCTATGGCATGGTTTTACGACGGCTTTTCTCTCTTATTCCACTTTCCTCTCGCTTACAAATCTCGCCGAAAACGTGAGGTTTGAAACTCTTTGATACACTTTCCCTTCTGTCCTATCACAAATCACAAGCGCGGTTTCGTTCCTCGATCGACTTGTACGACGTGAAATGAATTATTCGGCGAGCTCTGAATTCAATATTTTCATGGAAAAAAGTAATATAAGCAAACATCGAAAATTGATTCATGTATTTTTGTTACTTTTTTCTTACTATTGTCTGAAAATTGGAAAAATGATATAATCCTGGTTGAGAGTATTTTTTTTAGTAAGTTATTTTGAAGATCATGATTACTTAGAAATATATATATATATATATTTGAAGTAGAAAATATTCTACAAGAGAATATTTTAATAGTTGTAGGACATATTTTAGAATGCTACACAAAAAGAATTAATTTAATAATAATCAGACAATTAAAGAATGTGTCCTCAACGATTATAGATTTTGTTAATGTAAGAATTCACATATATGTATCTACGATCAATATCCAGCCGCGGTTTATAATGATTTAATTATGATAATCGTCTTAGTTCAATCAGGATTATAACAATTCTCCAATGAATTATAATGAGTGACAGCAAATTGTTCGTAATACTCTTTTTCACGTTTGCTTTTCGTCGTATCCCATGATTTTTTCTCGTCGAACAGAGGGCCGAAGTTTTTCTTGCAGATGAGGTGGCGAGATGCGTAGAGATTCGTTAGAAGTTTTCTAATCCCGTCTATGGAAGAGGTTGGTTTCTTCCGGCCAATATGCGAATATTCAGTGTGATAGTCTGTAAGCAAACAATAAAATTTATTCAACATGGATGCTTTGTGAAATCGTCTTGGAAACAAAAAGAAAATAATCTTGATTCTCAAACACTCGTTCATATTTTATTCTGTCTTGATCCAAGCCAAAATAAATTCTTTTATATTATTTTAAATATTTTTTCATATATTTGTTAAAGTTCACAACACATATTTTTTGCGTATTTTGTTTAATTTCTTATTCGAGAAATTGAAAAATTTAATAAGATTGAAAACCAAAAATGAGAGGAGAAATAAAGAGCAATTGACTTAATAGAGATTCCAGATATTTTCTGCAGGTAAATTTATCTTTTGATAAATTAATAAGTTTTTTTATCATAAAATATACGAACTAGATATTACTTTAAAGTGATGCGATGAGCGATCAACTTAATATAAAAAGAGTATGATAATAAATTAAGGGGGGAATGCATTTGTGATAACTGTTGGTCATTGTCAAAGTTGCGCCGTTTTGTGCGAACTTGGACAATCTCAGCGGTTTGGCGTGTGTAAAGCACATCGAAGGGGAAGCAGATGATACAGTTTTCCACGAAACTTCCTCTCTTGCCGTAGTATCCGTAATATCGTTTCGATACGGTTGTTGCTCGCGGTATCACGGATAATGGATAAAGCATCGAGAGACCAAAAGGCTTCTTCTCTCGGTGCTCCTTCCGTGCCTCATGTCTGTGTCTACCACACGATCTCCGATTCTTCCTCTTCGTTCGTTGCACTCTTCCGTTTTTCTTACGAGGGCTCGGTAGCTATTCGGTATAATAGACTATCTCCAGTGCAGTCTCCCCCGTCTTGTCATTCAACAAACGAACAACGTCGTGGCGGGTAATAGAATCGACGTGCTCGACGATAATTTATTCTGTTTTTAGCTTTAACAAGAGCGAATGGAAATTTTGTTTTATGGCTCTCGCGTACCGGGTTTTCTTACGAGTCACGTTACACGCGTGATCGGCTATTGCAAATTGCGATTTAATGAATTCAGCGCGATAATTATCCGACAATCTTGCCAAGATTGTGAATTTTGATTGAACTTCAAGCATCTATTTGCGAGCTGTCAAATACAGTCAATATTTTGCCGGCGTTATTATGAAAACAAATGATACATTGACTTCCGATTGATAGCCATATAATTCCATTAATGTTAGTCAGCTATTTTTAATGGTTTATAATTGGTTTCTTGTTTATAAAAATATTTGATAAATTGTTTTTGATAAAATTACGGAAAGTAATTTAGAAAATTTTGGGTATTTTAAAAAATTGCACTCTGTGTAATATTGATTTCATCTGTGGGACAACTAACGCTTCAGATGCAGTTATGTTTATAGATTTTAACGATATAATATCATAATTACACTAAATAATATTTAGACAAAATGTGGAATAAACAATTCGAGATAACATTTGATTATTACATTTATAATGTTTTTATCGAAATAACCTTATTTAAATAACATTTTCTCGAATTTAAAATAATTTGAAATAAAAGTTAGATCTAAAGTTATATTTATTTTATAGCGTAAAAAAATGACATATTGATTATTATTGTCGTTAAATTTGGTTTCATATTCTATTTCCCGAACTTTTTTTTTAATTAACTTTACTATGAGAAGTAAAGGAAACGCGCTCAATAGTATAAATTATTTGACTTTTGATACTTTATTGAATTTGAAATTAAATTATCTCTATAAAACTTTAGAATGTTGGCAAAATATTAAAATAAAATTTAAAAAATTGCTATTATGGCAACATTTAGAAGAATTTATATATTTTTAAAATTAAAATATTGAATTTTTCATTTGTTTTATTTGAAAAGTTAGAAATTTAGATTTATTTCGAGCACTGAATGTATCTTTGTTCGCTTTGAAGAAGAATGTTTTTCACCAAACTTTCCTCGGATTGCATTCTTCTTGAACAAACTCGCATTACCGTGTGTCCGTCCTCACCTTTGTCGCAATCCAGGACGAAGAGTTCCGGGCACAGAGTTGAAACTTTCCACTGCTTCTATAGACCTTCGTCTCACGGAAAAGGGCACTCAACGCGATGGCTTTCGTCCAGGATAGCTCGCGAAATTTTGATTCACGACGGTCCAGGATGCGGTGTGCGCGAGGATGACGTTGGTCGGCGGCTCGCTTCGTCTCCTGAGGCTCTCCTGTGGCAGGAAGCGGTGGGCAACATTATTCCTGTAGCGCGAAAGGTGCCGCTAATGCCGTCGGCTCCTTCCGGCCTAATTAGCCCGGAACCATTAAGTTTATCTACGAGCATCAGGGTCGCCGGCCTTCCCCGAGGAAACTGTTAGATTGAGGGGCGAGACGCAAGGGGGCAGAGTTCGCTTTTGCTGGGAGCTATGCATTGAATGATTAAGTTCGAGCCCGGAAGTAGCTGAGTCATTGGATATTGGGGGTGTGTTAGACACCGAGTCTACGCGTTTATAAATGAGTGCCTGAATCAGAAACAATATACTTTATTTCAATCGATATCGAGATCTCGATACTACGATTACAAGTTGTAAGATAGAAATTTTCAAAGATATAACAGATGAAAAATATAGATACAATATACAAATGATAAACATAAGATATAAATATTTCGAATTTTAATAAAATAAAATAATTATTTAAAAAAGCTTTCTATTTTTTTTTAAATAAAGCAATTAAGTAGTTGTTTGGATTCATCACTTTTCAATTCTTCACGCTCTTCGAAAGAGAAGGGGTTTAATCGAAGTTAGCGAAGTTAACGAGCCAGTGTCTTGAGAGGATTAACTTTGGGAAATGGTTGGGTCGTTGTAAACTTAATTAACCGCTCTCCCAATTATTTAATTGAGGTAATCAAGTCTTTCTAATGACTTTTTTACCGTATTTACTATTATCGTTCTTTTTCTGTTTCCTGTCTTCTCGAACTCGCCAATTGTTGAAAATTACTAAGCTACATACACTACAAGCTAGAATTAGATAATAGATGTAGTCTGTAGATTTGGTTTTGTCAGTACCTAGCGACGATAATGGGCCTTCCTCTAATTAGAACGGACCATTAAGCTACGATCGTTAGATCCGTCGAGTTCGGTTCTTGCGCCGATTGGTGTCGGAAGGGTCGTACGTTTTATTGATAAATTCTTGAAGCGGTGTGTTTAAATTTTTATTAGCGAATCATTGAGTAATCCAAAAACAAAAAACAGAAATTGAAAATAAATTTGGTAATTATGTTCAAATTGAGTTTAAAAAGTTTATGGAAATCAAACATTTTACATAAATTTAATTTAATTTTTTATTGTATTTTATTATTATTAATGCATTCTATATATTATCACTTATAGGAAAATATTAAATGTTAGTAATTTAATATTTTAGAATAAAAAATATCCGCTAAAAATATTTTATCAAAAATTTGTTCAAATTAATACACATGAAGATCGGTACGTTTATTATATCTTATCTGACAGACGTTTTGATCGATAAGAGTCTAATATAATGTTATCTATGAAGATCGTAAAATCGTCGTCAGAATGTTCGCGGTTGAGAATCATCGGCGAATTGTCTGGCCATCATCGTCGCGTCGGCGAGAATCCGGCCGACGATAATTGATAAAATGAATCACGTTGACATCGACGGCGATCGTTAGCAATGAGCAGGAGAACACGGACCGCGAGCTATCGTTAATCACCAGGTCTGACACATCCGAGCCATCGTTTGTTACTTTCGGAAAAGTTGTGCGGTCGCTTGACGCTTCGAGGCGAGTTATCGATTCTATAGGACAGCGCCGGTCGACTTATGGTTAATTAAAAATTAATGTATTAATTATTATCGCGCTTGGGATACTCTACTTGAAGGTTTTTTATTTCTTCCGTGCCATCGAATATTTATAGACTGAAAAGTTTTGAAGATACAGAGCATTAAATCATAGATAATAACGTTAATGAAAAATAAACTTTAATGAATAAAATAGAATGAGATTACGTTATTAATAAATTCTTATATAATATACAATATTTTTTGATTTCCTATAACTAAATTTTATATATAAATATTATAAGATGTTTATAGTATGTGTACATAAAGCTATACATATGTACATATATATTTTTTTTTAAATAGTTATGTCTTTATTGTTAGAAATTAATGAATTCTTAATAACATAAGGTTTAAATTTTCTTGTTATAAAAAAAATTACATAAAACATCTATATATTTTGTTAGATAATTTTTTAAATAAAAATTGCTTTATCTCTTACAATATGTGGTGCAAATTGAAGTAAAAGAAATTATTATAATTATTGCAAAATGAAATTATTACATAGAATTTGAAAATCTTTAAGGATATTTGGATATTCTTGTAATCATATAATTTTTTAGATTATTATTCAAAATAATGTCTATTTATATTTCAGTTATTTTTGCCTTAAAGTATTTTACAATGATTGATTACAATTTTATGCTTTAGATTTATTCTATTTATTTATTGATTACAATTTTATGCTTTAAACTTATTCTATTTATTTATTGATTAAATTATTAACGACCCTCGGTTTCGGCGAAGTTTCCGGTTGGACTAACGGGCGTGGTAACCAGCACTTGTACCGTGTCTCGAGGCTCTCCCTTGCCTTATCCCGGAAGTTAACAACTATCGGCTTTGTAACCGTGCTTAAGTTAACGCGAGTTTCGCGCGCGTTGAATAGTTTGCAAGTCCATTACAGACGCATTAAGAATATATACATATATCTCTGTATATGCATGTGCATGTCTGAATGCTCACTCACCGTTTCCTTCTCTTCAACTACAAGCGAGGATACGTGATACGCACGCGTGCGATCACTGCAGGGCATGACACAGTCGAGACTGACAAAGCTAACATCTCCATGTGCGATAGCGTGTTGGCGAAAGCTCTAACACTATCGGCTCTTAGAGCTGCTTTCGCCAACTCTCTATGAAAGCTCGATTGACTTTAATCACAATTTAACTGATTCTCCTCCTTTTGCAATTACGGATGTTACAGCATGCTGGATGTAATTAGACATTTCAAAATAAGAAAAATATATTTCACAAGCGGAAACTTAAACGTAAATTTCTTTTTAAGTTATAAATGATTAAAACAAAACATCTTTTTACGATTTTAAGGATTTTATGACTAGGACAAAATTTTTAATCTCAAACCGTCACATGATTTTGATTGTATTTTACATGTATATTTAAACTGAATATTCGGTTATTCAAATTACTAAAATCTTGAAAAAAAAAAAATTATGGAAAAAAAATAGAACCAATAAAATTCTGATTTCTAGCTATTTACTGTGGAAAGAAGAAAATTTACCAAGTCATATTTGACATTAATTGATATTCGTTGAGTAGTTATTCATTAACCAATTTTCTACTTATTCGAGCAAGTTATACGCCTCATGTAATTATGGATTCGATAAGACATGCGCCGGCATTACACGCTATTACACGCGGTAGCGCTTTGCTAACTATAAAGCAGATGTATGCCACGCGTTATGTATGAACTCACGCACGTTCGCATACGTGGTCAAGCGTACATGCCATCGCATCTATTTAATTAATTTGTAATTCAAGGATTAGGATTCTATTTATGAATAACAATATTATTAAGTTGTAATATAACTATGTTATAATTTTGTTTTGAACGTTATTAAAATGGAAATGTACTTATCTTTTACAGATGAATTTTTCTACTATTTTGGCGCTAGTGAATCTTCATATTTGTTTCCTGCCCTAATTTCGTTTCGTTTTATAATAAAATGCGCGTCGGGAGTATCGTTAATTCCGAGAGTGTCGTTACAGTTCCGCGCGAGTACAAAACGTTGCATTCTAGCGAATCGTAAGACGAACGCATTTCGCCGAATCATGCGATAAATATTGGGACACGATCGCGCGAATCTCTTTCGAGGGGCGGGGGGCTTTCTTATCGACTTTGGACTCGGCTCGGGGGAGGAAAGGATCGACTTTTATCATGGGATCCCGATTGGGACCCTTTAGTATCAGACGTGCCAACATATGATACATGATGCATGCGATTATTATGTTACTTTTTGCAATCCCAAAAAAAGCGTAATGTTACTAATGCATGATAGTAACTTTTAAATCACATGAACCGCAGCAAAGAAGTCAGCATGTTTTGACTTGAGTCCGTTAGTATTGGCACCGAAATGCTACCTGGTATCCGGTTGACCCCATGATTAACCGCACCTTACGTTCTTCGCCGTTCACCATTCTTAGAAATTTTTTACATATTATTTCAACTAATTAAACTTTTTTGTATTCAAAAATATATTTTGAAAATTTTAATTCTTTGTTTAGACGTGTGCATAAATAAACGAATATAAAGTTTAATGTGCGCAGTAATTATTTTATAAATATTAATTATTTCAAACGCTAATCTGCATTTATTTTTTTATTTTACAGATCAACTTTGTGCGCGTAATCGGTGCTACAAAATATATTCGTTCCGTCGTATAGTATAACAAAATGCGCGTCGGAAGTGCCGTTAATGCCGAGAGTTATAGCGAATCTATAGATGAACGCATTTTTGCTGTATGACAAATATTGGGACACGATTTTTTCTTACTTTGGGCTTGGCTCGGGGGAGGGAAAGGTTAGGTTTCAATCATAAAATCTCGACTACGGCAAAGGTATCTACTCGGTTCTACATGAAGGCCAATAGAATGGCTACCGAATGCTTTTCAGGTGCCTTGTATCTAGTCGGTTGATTGGATGACTAATCGCACCTCATCTTCTTCGAGCTTACTTTGCCCTCTGTTTTGAGAGAATCGTGCCCCAATTTATAAGTGCGGTCGTCTGAAACGTGGACGGGATTCGCGCGTAACGTCGCATTTTGGACAATTCGGTTCGATTCGCTTGCGACGTCGGGAATGCCGTTTAAAGTAAGTCGCGCGATTTTCGTATTTGGATATGCACGCGAGCAAGGCGTGCGCCGCGAACGCGTGTGAGTTAGTGTGGTGAGTGCCTCGAAGGATTGCTGAGAGGAGGAGGAGGCCTAGGAGGCATCGGGCGACAGCAGAGCAACGATATGGTAAGTAATTTATTGCACAAAATGCTTTTTTAACGGTGGCGGTATAGAAGCGAGCTTAATATAGCGAAGCGTTGAGCTAAGCTTTTTTACTTATCAAAGTTACTTATTATAGTAACGTCAAAATTTTTATTTGAGACAATAAAAATATAAAATATGAATTTAATAGCGCCATAATATTTTATAATTTAAAAATAATATTTTAAAAAGATTTAATTTTTTCGAAATTTAAATTGTTTAAGCTTTAGTCTAATTTTGATAGCGCATTTTGATACGCGCGATATCGGCTATCGCGTGCGAATAATTTATTTCTCACCCGTTGTTTGTGTTTAATTCAATCTTGTTAGGCTTACAAGATATTTGAGATTGTATACTGATAATAAAAATGCAAAAATTAGTGAAATATTAAGTAGAAAAGGTTACAATAAAAATTATTTGCTTGGTTTTAATTCTCGGATATAAAAAATAACATCGCCAGTTGAGAAATTATATCGCAGACTTTCAGTCTTTCTCGGACGACAAGAAACAAACTGTCAATAGCGAAGAGAATTTTTTCACGTAACGCTTATTCCACGAGATTTGTATCTTCCTTCTTTAGGTAATATATAAAGACTTCGTCGTGCTTTTTCGTAGTCGGCTACGCGAAGTGTACCTTTTACGCGAAGCGTTTATGCGACGTGCGTTTCGAGGATACGTAGCCGGAGCTTTCCCGCAAAGAGCTTTCGGCATCGTGCAAGGACTGCTACGAGCTTACCAAAGAGCTCCGCAGAGACATCCGGCTAGCTCCGTATCCCTACGGCCTCTTCTCCTACCGCGCGCAGTTTTCAGCTTTTACCCTTTCTCTTTTTTCTTTACGAAAAACGGTCAGCCGTATCGTTTCCGTCCGACATAGCGCTGTCTAAGGACACCGGGGAGCACTGGACGCTATTGCATGAGATATACAGTTAGATATATATATGTATGTTCTACGTACGTGCTTCGTTCGAACAGTTATCGATATTCGATTGTGATTCTCTCACAAGACTGTGGTGGCCATAAAAGTATATTCGAAGGAACGTAAGGTAACGCGAACTGTGTAAAGAGAGCAAAGATCTATACTCCCTTCATTTTTCCTATGTAATATATATCCTTGCTTGTGGACGACGAAGTAATAAAGTCTGCGCAAACTATCGCAAGCTCAAAGGAGATATAATTACACTTCCAAATTTCTCTTATATAAACTAGGAGAGTCCTAAACAAAATTACTTCCCCCCCCCTTTCTCCATCCCTCACTCGTCGCAGTCACGGCATTGAAGATCATTTTCGCCGAGTCGCGCAACTTCAACTTTAGACATAGCACGTGACTCGTGTCACAAGGACTCAGCTACCCTTCGCCAGGACGATAAATCACGGGGAACCCGTTGAGCCCCTTTATTCGCGCCGCAAAAGCAGCTCCGTCTTCCTCCGTTCATCAGCGAAGTGACGTGGCCGTTGCGGCAACTTTTTGCTGTTATACAGGGTGTCACAAGACCGCATGTTCCTTTAGATAGAAAGATAATAGAAAAGAAACTAAGGAGAATGGTAGTCTTTTTTTATTATCGAGGCAGTAATAAATTTTTCAGTTAAGTTAATCAAATAGCAAGTTAATTTTATCTAGATTTTGCGGAATTATTTAACTTTGCGAATTAAGAAGCTTTGACATCGAGAAGAAACCTTGAAAGTATTAAACTTAGCATTCCAATTAATTTTTACTTGAATTTGTTTTAATAAAGAGCTCAGAGCTACTTGCTCGTCGAGAATTTAACATTGAAAATTGCGGTAAATAACGATTTTCTACTTAAGTAAGACAAGATGCGCTTCGAAGTGGTCGTAAAATCTATATAGTTGAAAGAACATTTAGTCGTTCCGGCACACCCAATATAACGTAATACGCGAAAACGTCGTAGGATTCTTCGCAAAACGCGACTCACGATGGCGTAATAAAGTTGCTTAGAACTTACCTTTGAGAAATGATGGTGGTTCCTGATGATGACTGGCGTCGTCGTCTCGAAACAAGTCGAGGGGATGACGGTGGACAATGGGCGAAACGTAGGGGAATGTCGGAGGAGAGAGATGATGACGGATAGGACGGTTCGAGGGAGTGAAATCGGGAAGAAGTGACGAAGGGCGAGTAGCGACGAGTGTTCGAGACGGTTACGCGAATCGGCGGATGGTGGTAATACGACGGGAGGAGGAAACACGGGAGTTCGCGCGGCAAGAGGAGAGCCCGAGGAGAGCGCGGAGGGCGAAGTCGCGGATGCAGGAACCTGTACGGGAATGGGGAACGGGGGGCGAATGGGTGGGTGAGGCTACAACAAAACAAAACACGATGAATGTCCCGATGTGCAAGCTGCAAGCAGAAAGAACGCCACGAAGATGGATGGTTAGTCCTCGTCCCGTCGGTCTCGCGCGGTCGCGCGCGCTGAATTATCTAGATAAATGCGCTGGGACGTACGACATCGTCCACGAACACCGGATTTACGCTTCGGGGTAATCGTTAAATATTTCCAAATTGGTCGCGAATTCATGAAAGCCGCGAGCGCTCCGCTGTACCGCGAGGGATTTGTTTATTGCTGTTGCGCGTTAGTCTATTGATGGTTTCGCATTTCGTTTTCGAGATAATTCGCGCATTGGAAGCTGGCCGCACGTCGCAAATCAATTCTGTTTTTTGTAATCCGTAAAATGGGGTCAAGCGGGACAGCGGAAGCTATCTCACAAATAGACGACATAATAATTTTAAAATATGATAAAACTAATTAGTTTTTTATAATTATATTCTCAGAAAGTGATTTACTTTTCGACAAAGAAATTTGCAACTTATTGCAAATTATTATCACAGGTATCTATAAAATATAATTAAGAAAAACTATATTTTGGTTATCATTATTTGATTCTTGAGGAATTTTTCTCTTTGACTGAAAACCGATTGCAAATTCAGAATTTATATTTATATAAAGAATAACAATAATGCATCGAAATACTTTTCATAAACAAGTAACTTAGCTAAGCCATAGAAATAGATCAATTTACCTTGACAGTGCCGCTAGATGCGCTAGAAGCGGGCAAGCGTCACGTCCTCGGCGAACGAAGAGAACTTATCCATATCTTGAGTGCGAGCAAGAACAGAAAACAGTCTTCCATTAAGTAACTGACGTGAACTAAATATTGTCTCTGTGAATCTTGAAAAATAACTGAGACATAAAGATTAATTTTTTTACACATGGTACTCATTAACTCAATGAGTGTATGTTTCCTTCGTTTGTAATATGTAAATTTGTAATTTTGCATTTAAAAAATGATATATTAGTGTTTCCAATTGTATCAAATTTTTCTAATTATTTAAAACATTTATAAATTGATTAACATTGATTAACATTAGAAAATGATTTACATATATTTTTTAATCGAATTGATCAAAGATTAAAAAGTCACAATGCCACTATTTTATATACGATTTTTAAGTTGAGTTGAAAAAATTCATGTGCTTGCGAAACTACGAGCTTCTCGTCCTCGTACTACAGCGTCTGATTCCACGGGCTCTTCAAGGTTCTTCACCGACCCTGAAGAGGAACGAATGTGAGGGGAAACGGTCATAGTTCTATTTCTGTCGCTCGTGAATCATACGGCTCGTACCTATCTCGTCTAACGCGTATAAGGCCTTGATACGGCTACGTTAAAAGGTGGATGCTCTCGATAACACGCGCTCTTAACGATGATTTCATAAGCGGATTATTCTTGTAATAACGTTAATCTTATAATAATCCTCTTTCTCGTTTTCTCAGTCTAGTTTAAAATTATGTTATTTGCTACAATAATGCCATATTGAAGAAGAAAAAAATTACAAATTAGTATTTCTTAATTGCGAACATTTTCAAAGAAGAATACATAAAATAAAGTAAATAATATTATGAAAGAGTAATTTTTAGTGATAAACGCGACTTGAAATACAAATAAATTTTAGAAAATAACAAGAGAGACCTATAGAAATTCTAGAATTTAAAAAACTAACATTAGCTCGCAATATTGCTTGAACCAATGCTATTTGGCCGCTCACACTTTGCAGTTGAATTATTTGATTGAGATATTTTGTTGTAGACATAGTTTGGAAGTGTATTCTCGATGTTTAATTAAACGATCGCGTAACAGCAAGGAATTCGATGGATTACTGTATTTCTGATTAAATGAACATTACAACGGAATTTCGCTGATACACCGCATTGTCCTGATGTGCCAATTACCGGTTACGTAGTAACGATGTACTGACGGCGAAATTTAACTGGACTAACGTGAAATGGAGAATTGTCTACAGAACTTTAACATTCAATAAACTTGCGGATAATAGCGCGCCGATACCGGTATTGTGCCGCAGCAGTCAGCTTGACCACTATTAGCGTCGTTTCGTGAATTTGTGCACCGTCCTGGCTTTACTGCATTAGGATTCATGTGTTTAATCCGCGAATGGGAGGATCGTGCCGACGGTTGCGTTTAGGTGTATTACCGTATCGTTACGGAAATGCAACATAACGAATTATTTCATTGTTTCTCTCGTCAAAACTGATTCAAAATTGAAAATTAGGTAATTTCGAAACATTTTCTTTTTTAAATAAAAAGACAACACTCAGAATACTTGAAACATTAAAAAAATTTCAATAAATTTCTGTACTTTTTTCATTTTCTTTGTTTCTATCTTAATGTTAATAATATTAATGATTTGAATATTAATATTTAGATTAAAACATTTCCATTAGAATAGGTATATTTTTCTATTTTCTTGACTTTTTACAAATTGTAAAGCTCATAGAAGCAATTATTTTACTTCCTGCGTGAATAATTGCTTTAATATTCTTACATTTATAGCAATGTTTTCTGTAATGAACAAAAGTAGAAATATTGTGCCTTTTTCACGCAATTTAATGTGTCATAAACGTCGACAGCGTGAAATAAATGATGTACACATTGTTGCAAACTTTTCTGTACAGCGAGACGTATCGATAATACTCGGTTCTATTCAGTACGCTCAAAGTTATCGACGACTTTAAGAACTTTGCCGAGCCTGTTGATTTCAAAAGACACATTGTACGTGAGCAACGACGACTCCGCTCGAGAGTGAGCATCGAGAAATCGTCGAGGGAGAACATTTATTTTCCGGCTGCGAAGCGCGCGCCTCACGTTACCTTCGAAACACTCCTCTATGTAAATTACTGTCGATACGCGAATGCTTCTTTTTGTTTTACATTCCCTATCTCCCCGTTGTTATCGGAAACCATTGAATTCATGATCGTTTCGCGGACGAGGGTGAAGAGAGAGGGGGGGACAAGCGCGCTCTCGAATGAATAAAAAAGGCAATCGGTGCTGGGGCGCGATGTAAATTCATTACACGTGTATGTCGCGCATTCGTCCGAACGCGTTTGTTTGTAGAATCTAATCAAATATTGTCGCATGCTCATTCGCGCCATTTTTTTATAAAAGTTTTATTGTCGAAGTTGGTGGAAATGCGACGATTCGATCGTATATGACATATGCTTTCTCCATAGTCGATATTCAATATACTGCTTGTATATAAACAATTACATTAACGAACTGATTTTTCGAAAATAAAGATATTGCTTTTAATGCAAAAACGAGTCCCGAAGAATCAAATAATATTGTTCTCTAACTTGTTGTCACAAATAGAATGTAATTATGCTATATAAAATCGGTTTATAGCAATAGCAAACTAATTTTTTCACTGCAATTTTCTTAAAAAGATATAAATAAGTAAACTTTTGTTCTCTCTTTCCCGTATTATGTCAATTTGAGCGGTTTATATTAAATTAAATTATGTTAAATTAAGATTAAATTTTGAATAAATTTATTAAATTACATTTAGTTAAATTTTAAATCTCTTTTCAGGCTATTAAGACAGTAACATATTAAATTTGTAATTTTTTATCAAATCTTATTGTTAGTTAATTTTGCAAAATAGAATGAAAAATCCCTAAACTAGCAGCATTAGTTCCATATGAACTGCTCTCGATTATGACGTCATTTATTTATCGGGGTCAGGTCGAGGCTGCCGCACTAGTTATGTTACGCAAATGTAACCACTGGGTAGTCGAGGGTTAATATGTTACCGCGGCGTCGCGCATGTTCAGGAACGACAAACTACACTGTGCTCGTGCTCAGACCGAACGAGAAATTGCCGCAATTCCGACGAAGGCGGAATCCTAAGCGCGTAGTAGGCTCGGTAATTCTCCCCGTTTGAGGAAGGTAACGCGAAGGCTTGCCACGGTGGCGTACTACACACTAGACGCCGGGTATAGCGTATTGGGTTGCTCGGTAATACGTATCGGACTACATTTCACGGTTGATCGAGGCGTCCGGGCACAAGCCGGCAGCGCCATAGACTATTTCCCAAAGGATTTCTAGAGCGATATAATGGGTTTGCCAAGGTATAACGTAGCTGGCTACCTAACTCTATCGTATTACCGGGCCGACCGAGCGCTCTTCCGACCGGAGCTCGACCGACCGTGGCCTCAATCGAGTCCTCACGGGGTGAATTCGTCAACCTGACGCGCTCTCGCGGGCCGTCTCGGAGCAATGAGAAAACGCCGGGTTGAACGCGTTTCTGCGCGGGGTTTGATTTGAAAATTACACTTCCTCGCCACGTACACCTCGGCGATCTCGTACTTCTCGCAGCGATTCTTCCCTCGCTTTTGCCTCGCGATCATCCCCCGGGCGTACATCTTTTCGCTTCCGTCAGGGGCGAAACTTCTCTCTGCCTACCTACATACCTACTTACCTACCTACCTACCCGATCGCTTCTATCTCGCAGGATCTGTGAAAAGGCTTCTTCAGGTCGGGTAAAATTGAAAAGTGGAGCTACGAATCTCGTTTAGATCGTTCCGTGCGATTCGGGTAAGGTCGGCGCCCGCCCGCGCGCGGACGCGCGCGCGTGCTCCCCGTACGCGATTTATCGACTTCCCTTCTTCGCTCCCTCGTTGGGAGCAGCTCGATTTGATCCGAGAAAATCGCATTCTGCGCGAAGTAATAAAACGCGAATGTACTTTTGCTACGAAGAGCGGCTATTAATTATCGCGCCTGATAGTCATCCCTTCCCCTTCCTGCTTTTCACGTTCTTTTTCATTTTGAGGCGTGCTTTTCTGGCGTGTACCTTCGGCAGAGCGTACGGAGACTACGGATGTCACGGGGAGCATTGTGTGAGCATACGAGGTCGCGTATCGAGAGTCTTTTGTTGGTGCTACATAAAGAGGGTAGAAAGGAATGAGAAAGGCTATTGTCTCGGCAGTCGTGCCACTACGAGAACGGAAGTACTTCATGCCCGTATTTCAGGCATTTTTTAATACCACGAGTGACTTGTGCCGCGCTGAGCGCTATTAACCCTTTCAGCCCAGATTATTTCTAAATGTTCAAAATAATGCTGGAACATCTTCCGTGCTTTATTTACTTTATTAATTTTCTGCTATATTATACTACTATAGCCTGCTTAATTTCTCGGATATATTTTATATTTTAGGATTTATTAAATTAATATAACTAGAATTGTTTTTTTTTTTTTTTGACTATATCGTAAAAATAAGATAAGCTTATTGATTTTTAAAGATTCTTTTCGCAAGCAATTGCCATTTTAACGAACTATCTATTTTGGAGCTTACATTTCTGATAATTTCCATAAATATGTTACTTATTCTGATTTACTATTTTAGGGTATTATTTAGCTAATAATAATTTTAGTTCTACTGTCTTCTTGATATTCACATTCAATAAAATGACAATCGTACTTAAATATAACAAATTTGCCTGTATTTTATCAAATTATTAAAAGATTATTATACTCTATAATTCAATAATTTTTCTTTTTAACTAAATGCGATAAAAATGTCCAAATTTTAACTAAATGCGATTATTAGTAAAACACAAACACACATTTGGCGTATACTTAAGATTCAGTCACGGATATCACTCCGATTTCCGAGAGATTTATTTTATTGCCGGCTATTTAGTCAGCGACGTTCTAAAAGCGATTATTACGGTGCAATACAACTCAATACTCGTAGAGAAATGCGTTCACTCGCTCGCTACGCGCTCGTAGTCTGTCACTTAGG